TATAATAAAAATGGTGTTGGATTATAATCATAACATGTACTAGCGGAATGATCTGGTATTGTAAAATAATTTTTTTTTATGGGGCACACACCGGGTGAAGGATCAGTTATGTAACATCGACGGTTAATGTAATCGTAAATTTTATGTCATAACTTAAAATTAGCTATAGGTCATAACAGATCAGATAGGTTAGTCATGGCAAAAAAAAAATGTCGAGATACGTCATTTCCGAACATAGTCGGAGTGATTTTAAACGATGTAGCCTGATATCTTAACGTTAATAATGTTGTACGTAATATTGGTATAGTTTTCGTGTACAGTACTGTAACATATGATTTATTGAGCTACATCAATGAACCTGGAAGTGATCGCCGATTACGTAATCGCGACATTTTTTTTGCCATGACTTACACTTGCAGGCTAGCGATGTCATTTTGACTAAATTATATTACAAGCAAACTCAAAATACTTTTCATTAAAATTTATGACTAAAAGACTTTTTGAATGTATGTAAAAAAAAAAATGTCCATAGCAAAAGAAGTAATTAAGCATGACGAAGGCGGAAAACAAGTAAAAGAAGAGACTAGAAAGTTCAAATTCACACACGATTGGCTTAAGCCGCATCTTCCTTATTGGGAAAAGAACCTATCTTGTCTTAAAAACAAGAAAATAAATGTACTCGAAATAGGAGCCTTCGAAGGAAGATCCACTACTTGGATTTTGGAAGAATTATGCAAAAATCCTGAGTCAAAATTAATTACCACCGATATTTTTCTAAAAATTTTTCCCAACAACGATAATGAAACAACTTTCCACGAAAATATTAAAAAGACTTGTAAAGAGAATCAAATCGAAGTTATCAAAAACAAATCAATTGATACACTTATTAATCTAAACCATGAAAAGAAGATGAAATTTGACTTCATTTATATTGATGGTTCTCACGAATCACACGACGTGCTATCAGATGCTGTTTTATCATGGAATCTCTTGAAAGAAGGTGGAATTATGATTCTTGACGATTATGAGTGGGATTTTTTTGAAGAGGAATATCTTAATCCAAGAATAGCAATTGATTCATTTCTCAGATGTTATCAGACACAAATAGAAATTATTGATAAATATTATCAAGTAACAATTAGGAAAATTACCAAGGAAGGCACACGAACTGTTAGAGAAGGAAAAACCATTGATTGATGCACATTTGCAGTATTAAACGCAATGAAGAATCTTTTGTGATCTCTTACATACACTACAAGATATCTATCTGTCTTTGCTACATAAATATTTACAATAGCGTGCTTGAATACTATCAGCAATTAAGCTTGAATAAAATATCCATGTTTTTTCTTGTGAATTAGAAGTGAAAATATTGATAATGATTTCTTTCCAGCAACTGACATGATGTAAACGAGATTTTTCAAAATACATCAAATTAACCACAATTTAATTCAAAATGCAATCCGAAAGAAAAATAAAAATTTGCTAGCAAAAATTTTTCTGCCAATTTTATTATTGTATATATTGCCATAAGTTTTAACTCAAAAACTAACTCTAATTTTTTTTCAGGTTCAAAATTTTTACCACATTCTAGATTTATTCTCTTAAGTTTAGTAAGTCATCAGTCAGTTATTGACTTATAGAGATGGGCGTTATATATTATATGCATTGCATTATGCTAAGCATAATGTCGCATAATGTAATACAAGTATTTTAAATTTTTTAATTCAACTAAAATTAATAAAATATTATATTTTATATTATACGTAACACTTGTAAAGCGTAGTGTGATACTGACACAGGATATTAATAATTGCATGAAAGCGTTAAATAATAAATTTTATTTAGGCTATTCAAACTTAATAAATCGGTTCTCATAACATAAAAGTTTTGAAAGTAACCCGGCAACCCGGCTTTTAATTTTATTTTCAAAAAAATTTTATATATAAAAAACATATAAAATTTTTTTTACAAATTTTTAAAAAAACCCACCCGGATAGTAAATATACTTAAAATTTTTTTTTAAGTTTTGAAAAATTTGATCCAGCCGGGTTATGAGAACCGATTTATTAAGTATGTATGGCATTATTTTAAAAACTTTTCAGTAATTATAAATATGGGAAAATGCTAATCATTACAGTTTGGGATGTTTTGTAATATCGCTAAAGTTATCAGATAATCGCATGCATCCTGTTCACTAATATCTAACGAAATCAGCGGTGTTCTTATTATAATGCACATCAGCTAACGCTCTTCCTTCATCTAATCCAGGTTTATCCCATCTAATATCTAAAGATGTAAGTATAATATTGTTATAAAGTACACCAGCTAACACTTTTCCTTCATATGACCCAAGTTTATTTTATGAATATCTAAAGAAGAAAGTGTATCAGCTAATTCTTTTTCTCATCTAAAGTTTATTCTTGCCAGTATAAAATGTATCAACTAATGATTTTCAAAATCAACATGTATTCTTACAAGGTGTATCAGCTAGTGCTTTCCCTCTATTTGAAATTAGTATAGTGTTTTATAAAGCGTATCAACTAATACTCTTCTCCCATCTGATCTAAGTTTATTACAACTAATATCTAAAGGAATAAACATGGTATTCTTACGAAATACATCACCTTATCTTTTCTTCAGTCTAACCAATATCTAAGAAGTAAACATGATGTTTTTATAAAGCGCATTAACTAAAGCTTTTTCTCTATATGATTCAAGTTTATTTCAACTTGTCTAAAGTAAGCATATCAGCTAGTTTATTTCAACTTGTCTAAAGTAAGCATATCAGCTAGTGTTTTTCCTCTATTCGGTCCAAGATTCTTTTCACTAATATATAAAGTTAGCGTGGTGTTTACACAAAGTACATCTGTTAATGCTATCATAATTAAGATTTCAAAGAGTCAGAATATTGCTTTGGTTAAGCGCTTTTCTTTATTGCCGAAATTTCAAGAAGTTAATGTGACATTCACACAAAGTACATCTATGAATGCTTTTCTTACAACTGATCCAAGCTGATCATAAGTAAGATTTAAAGAAGTTAGAGTAATGTTCTAGTAATGTGTTTTTCTTTACTACCGAATTTCAAAAAAAATCAACCTGCTAATTGCTTCTCCTACTTCTGATTTCAGCTGATTAATATTCAAGGTCAGGGTGGCGTTCTGGTAAAGTGTTTTTTTTTACTATCATCGTAGTGTTCTTGCAAGGCGTAGCTACTAATGCTTTCCTTTTCTGGTTCAAATTCGAAAAGACGTAAACAAAAAAAAAATTCTAAAAAAGCAGCAGAATGCAGGTTAAATTTTAATTGGTTGATCTGACTGTCAAATGATTTGATGGTCCGTAAGTCAAATTTAGATGTGACACAAATTTTAGAGTATTTCTCAAGTTGGAATATAATAAAGATTAAAATTTATATCAAATAATAATTCCTTGAAACACATATATTTATAATTATCTTTTAAGGATTAAAGCTTGCAAGGTTAGTAGTGCTTTCTATTAATTGCAAAATTAACAGAGTTTAAATTCATATTATGAAGTTCATTATTCACTCTTGTACTTGTATCACAGTATCGATTTGCTTGAAAGAATGCACAATATAGAAGCAACTTAGTTATAGTTCTGATTTTTAAACATAAGATTTGAAGACTATTAGGTGTGTTATTTCATAAAAGTAAGATTCAAATGTTAAAGAGAATGGGAGGATCATTTTAATAAAGTTATTATTTGAAAAGAAAGAATAAAATTTTTGATGATTTTTAGAATAGTAGTTACATATAAAAAGTTTACTACAATTAATAAAGAGCAGAATAGGTTGATTTAGCAATAATGGTCTTTATGAATAGTCTGTAATAAGCAATGAGTTTAAGGAATTGACGATTTTTTGTCGGGTAATAATTTTTTTTAATGTCTTGATAAATCTTTGATCTAAAATTTAATTCAGTTTATCTAAACTTCTAATTTTGATTATATTTATAGCATATTTTAGAATTAATCAAATTACATGTTTTTGGTTATATATACATTCTGATTTTGACAACTAGTGTTGTCAATTTGATCAAAATAGAGAATTAGATCTAGATTAGACTTGTATTTGGTTAATCTGATTACTGGGTAAGTTATTTGGTTATGTAAGTCAAATACAAAAATTCAATTATGAAAGTTTTTATTTTTATAAAATATAATAAAATGTTTAAAGATTTTAATATAAAAAAGTTATATTATTATATTTATATAGAACTCACTAAATTTTTAATTTAATTTTTTTCTAATACTTGATGAATCTGTTTCATAATATCATTTAATAACTGAAGTTTGTTCTCAATTATATTGACATAACTTGATAATTTTGCATATTTTTTTATGAGTAATTCAACTTTTTGTTTCAAGTTTTGAATTTTAAGGGTAGAGTGTATATCGATCATTTATCATATGATCTCAGTGGTATAACAGGTTTTTATATATAAATTAAAATACATCACTAGTAAAAGTTCTCAAAACCACGGCTAAATTTTACCAAAATTTTGTAATATACAAATCAAACCTTCTATTTATAGTAGTAAAACTTTC